GGCTTAGATGGCGGCTACTGATCGGTTTTAATGCAAACAATCGTACAAAATAGCTACCGCTCATAACATAATTATCTTATCCGTCGCTTTGCTAATAAAACAATGAGAAGGTTATATGCGGCAAACAAGAAAAGGGAGGCTCGACTTCTTTATCACCTGTCCTCCTTATCAATGTCTCATCCTACAATGAGAACTCGGTGTACTGTATGGCCAAATTTTATTTTAACTCATTTAAATAATCGTGATGTTTGTGTACCCTATAATTTTGAAGGATTTTGCGAATATAACAGAATAAACACTACTTATACAAAGTTTGATATATTCGGTAGTGGGCTGATCAATTTAAAAAAAAACATTGTTAGGTGCCTTATCCGCATTGTTAAGCAAAAAATGACTAGAACTAAAATTGTGAGTATACTAATTTTTTTTGTAACATTATGTTCACCATTAATGGTCATGTATTTAATAATAGATAGCTTGTAACATACTGTAGAAAATGCAGTATGTATTGTAAGGGCTAAATAATCTAGTTCTTAGGGTAGGAAATTGGAAATTAAACACTCCAATGATGACTTGATTCACTATAATTCACTTCACTGATTTTACGTAAACTGTATAACTTTAAACTTGAACAAAGGAATTGCCCGTGCGCATGTGTTACAACCTCTTTTACAATCTATTCCCTACTCCAACCCGACCATCCCACTTCGGGCAGTTGCTCGAGTCAATTCGTAAACAACCGAATGAGTCAAATGAGTAACTATTGCACATGCGCACTTATAGCAAGATTCTTAAGAATATGTTTCATAAAAAATGTTTAGAATTAAATTAAATAAATATTAAAATCTAACAGTATGATGTGGTGAACTTACTAACGAACGTCTAACTTACTTTAATAAATAAATAAATATTAAAGTTTCCTAATATTACTGCCTAAGTATGTCCAACATTGGTTAATACAAAAGCTTTTAATAAGTAGTACATTATAATGGACTCCTGGCCTCTTGTAAAATAACAAGAAGCGGAAACGTAAATCCACGGATTAACATTACACAACTACTTTAGAATTAATATATTAAGGTTGTAAAACAAAGTGTTCCTAGTGAAAACAAAGTGTGTTCTTAAAACAAAGAATTGAAAATAAGAATTTAGATTATGTCAGTGAAAATTTGTAAACAGATAAGAGATGAAAATTTCCATGTCATTGTAATGAAACGCGCATTTCAGAGAAATGTCAAAGTACTTGTAAATGTAAACAATGTTATTTGTGAATGTAATCCTGAGGGCTTACAGTCAAACTATGACGTATTATGAGTAACGTGCTCTATTATTTCAGAATCCTACCTTCATTTTAGTATTAAAAAAGGTTTATCGGAATAGATTAATAAACACATATTATTTCAGTCAAAAGATCTGCCACATTGATTATTATTATTATTCACGCTTTAATTATCCATACAACAATTGGTTAGTTTGCATTCCTTAATATTTGAAGTGAAACTTCTTTATCGGCGTTGGAAAAAAATGTAGTATAACATTTTTGCGTTACGCGTCACATTTTTCCGTTACGCGCCATGTTGCTTTTTGAAGTCAAACTTCTTTATCGGCGTTAAAATATGACATATACATACATAGTATGTTTTTGACTTTGAAGTTTGACAACGGATTACATTTTCGACTTGAAATTTGCTAATCGCAATTTGCAGCAATTAATTTGTAAATTGTATGCTAGGCAGTGTATCAAAATTTACTGTGTTTAAAGAAATAGTTTCTAATAAGGTCATAAAGAAGTTTCACTTCTTACGTGTGTACACCTAGTACACGCACACATTTTTTTTTTGTTAGATTTCTTTTTAAGTGGTCTAGTTCCTGTATGGCCCCTTTTAGGGTAAAAGCCTCCTCCATATTTTTCAGTTTTTCGTTGATGATTACATTGGTATTTTTCTATGGCAAACGTGTTAACATTTTAAGTAAACTGTGCTCATAAGTTTCACTTAGATAGTTTGTAACTTGGGCGTTAAAATAACTGAAAATGAATGCCAAACGATGCAGCCAGCTTCCTTTTTAATTTTTTATCACAACCTACGAAGTTACGTGAACAATGTTTATCTAAGAGTGTCATCTTACATTGACATGTAAATATAGAAAGGGAAAATAGATACAGATAGTAAGCGTGAAATCGACTTGGACTCGGTACGTTGATGATAAAGAATAGCGCTTTGTGAGCGCAGGTCGCGCGTGACAGCGTGTTTACATGTTCAATATGATACGGCCTCGTGTACTCGACTTGGTCACGATTATCAACAATATTCAATAACTTCATAGGCTGAAAGAAAGGCTATTCACTAGGCTGTGTCATTTCTATTTCAGTAAGTTTGTCAAAACTGTGGTGCCGAATGTTTCTAGTACGAGGGCCGTTTGCCCTAGGGGGAAAATTTGAGAAAGTCTCAAAACACAATATATGAGTTTCAACACTCGTATATGTATGTCACATATATCAAGATATCATGTCATAGGTTTCATTTTTTACATTATTATTTACCAACTAATAATGTAAAAAATGAAACCTGCTTATCTTTAGCATTTTTCGTTTAGTGAATATCGAATTGTAAGACGAAAAATAAATATTATTAAAAACAAATCAATTTAATTGTAGTGATATAACAAAAATACCTACACGTAAAGTTTCGTCTCTTTGTTTCAAATAGTGTTACTTTACAGAGGTTAACGGTACAAATACTGATTTTCTTTTAAGGATTAAGGGGGTTAGATGATATCTTAATATACCCTGGCTGACTTCACAAGAGCTGGTTGTTATATTAGCTGTTATAATATAGGTATCTAATTTCTTAATTAATTGTATTTTTTATTGTAGAGTAATCAGTGTAGATATTGTTGTTCTATCGTAATAGTAATAACTGTAATGATAGAATAATTATGTGGGAAATAATAAAAAATATATTTCCATAAAATACACGCAGAATATAATTAAGAAACTCATCAAAATGTATTTAAAAGTGTAGAAGATTGCTGTCGAGAGTAATAAAAGGCCTACTTTATTTTACAACCGAGCCGTATCTCATTTGTGGTGTATAACAGATGGGACAAAAGAAACAATAGGAATGATATACCTACTATGTTAATGCTGGGAGCCTAAACATTTTATATCGGTCAAGGCTGCATTACCTTATCTAAGAAAAGATATGATAACGAGTTTCTTAGAAAGTAAATTTGCTAATGGAAAACTGCAATATTCAGATGTTATGTCCTCCATTTTAACATAAAGAGATTTATACAAAGATAAATCTAGATTAAATTTCTGTTTATTTAACAAGTTTTGTATGAGAATTTTAAGCCAAATCATAACGTTGTAAGTTCCCAACGGGTTCAAATACATTTTATTGCTGTAAAAGTTTGTATATGTTGGCGTTTACTTGCACATTGAAGGTGCCACCTAGCCTTAACATTGCGAAACAGCATGCCCCCTTTTATATTTAATACTAGTAGACTCGGCCAAGCGTTGCTGTGGCTAAGATTTTTGATATATTACATAGTAGTAAACTATTCAAGAGAAACGGCAGGAGAACACCAATCCACCATGCTTTTTTGGTGGTTATGCCATTAAATTGTAGCTTATGTGAAACGTTGGTATTTATTTTGATAAGGATAATAATACCTACTTACGAATAAAGAGCCTTTTCAAGCGGTGGTATTTTAATAAAAAAAAATAATAAAAGGACGTTTATTGTGACGTAACTATAAAAGATAGAGACATGCTGTCGCGACATTTTTTATAGATAGTGATGTATCCTGAAAAATTTTAATACATCATTTTGTTCTATCATTAATAGTTTTCGCAGCACACGCGATTGAAGGAAGTTTTTGGGGGGGCAAGTCATTATTCGATGGGGCCGGCTGCGAAAAACATGACTCATGGGGTTACTTTTTTTGCACCTTGGGTTAGATTATTCAAGTTTTATTAAGCATCCCTAATTTTTTTTGAAAATGAAACATAGCCTATGTCACTCGGGAATAGTGTAGCTTGCCAACGGTGAAATAATTTTTTAAATCGGTCCAGTAGTTTCGGAGCCTATTCATTTCAAACAAACATTTCAAAAAATCAAATCTTTCCTCTTTATAATCTAACATATAAAATTCTCGTGTCGCGGTGTTTGTGGTTAAACTCCTCCGAAACGGCTCGACCGATTCTCATGAAATTTTGTGTGCATATTGGGTATGTCTGAGAATCGGACAACATCTATTTTTCATCCCCCTAAATGTTACGGGTAGTCCCCCTAAAAAAATTTTTTTAATTTTTAGACAAAACTTTTTGTTTTTATTTTTTTATGATACAGCATGCCAAAATACATACAACCCTTAATTTTCACCCCTTTACGATTAACCCCTATTTTTTATTATAAATGATATATATACATGGCAAAACGACGTTTGCCCGGTCAGCTAGTATAGAAGTATAGATTAACTAAACGATAGCCTTTCTTTGATTGTCACGTCCACAGCATACAAATTTCTGTATTTTTAAAAGATCATTTGATCAGCTTTCCACCTACCAATCCAACTTTTGTTTTTCTAACCGAAGCTAACCTTATACACGTGCGATAAAAACTAAAAGATTTCTTACAAAATAAAAAGATTACTTGACATAGACCAATTTTCAGACCTTAACATCGGTTATATTTTTGTCTTAAGAGTTCTTTGTAACGTGTTTAGGATGATGATTACGAAACTTCCTCTCCTTAAATCGTACGTGTTATGTTTGCGCATAATTGAACCATTCAGTCATTGCTACGAATATAAGAAACGACAAGACTATACTGAGGATGAAGAAGCTTGTACTATACACACAATGCCAGTTCCTTTTATGATTTTCAAACTTTTAAAGGAAAATAATTATTTTAAGGTATTAATCATTTGTCAGTCTTTAAACTTACTCGTAGTTGTCATATATTATTACGTCAGTGACTTTAAACTTTTTTTTATTAGATTATGTAGATGATGTTATTAAAAAGTGTGGTATCGCCTCTATTACCACCTCGTGCGCACTCTTTGGCTATCGAGCAGTCGAGGCAAGTCCTTGGCGAGCTATTGAAGTGGAAGTACCAGTAGTGACTGATGACGAGATCAGGATACCCATCACCAAAATGCCTAATAAAACCTAACTTATAATTTTCTTAGCGACGCTACATCTAGTAAAGACAATGTGTATTGCTGTATAATCTTCATCTCTCACACTCTCATTCACGTAAAAAATACTTCATAATGCGCCACATTATAATATTTATATACAACTAAGACACTATTATTAAATTTAATAACAGCCTTTCTAGTCAGTGTTTGGTAAAGAACGGGAATGTTGCTAACTTAAATATTTGCACGCTTGCCTACCGCGTAGGCTACGGGTAAATTAGATGCTGAACTAAGTTTTCATATATTTATTTTATGACCCTTGTTGGCCTATATCTACTGCACATTAAGAATACAGTTTATATTTTGTTGTTTATCAATTCCAGTTGCATACATAGGAGTCAGATGAAGATGCAGGATTTATTAATGGCACAATACGCTATACAAATGTGGAGTGAAAATACTGTAATCCTTCTTCAAAATTGTAAAGATTCATTAATATTGTCTACTTCGATATAATATAACTGAAGTATTTATATGAGGTGCATGTATTCTACAAGAGCTGCATTTTTAAAGCTATTCATGCAAACGTACGTGTAGCTCGAACTGGTCGCCTGAAATAGCAATACTTACTGCCAATGAAAGGGTCCAGTTATTCCCTCTTTGAGCCTGTCCTTGAGGGATCGTTGGCGTGAAGGGCCAGGCCCTGGGGGGAGTGTGCCCGCGCCGGCGGGTATGGGCGGTGCCGGCGCACGCGCAGGGGACGACATCGTCACTTAGCAGCCACAGATTAACATCACACCAGCACTAAAACTCGCGCTGCAAACCAATTAAAGCAGTAAATAAACAAGCAAAGCGGTATAAAAAGCTCACAGAAGCGAAAATAAAAATTGGATTTCTTAATAAGTTATAGAAATACAAATATTACACAGTGCAAATTATTATGGCGGATTCGCAGTTGCTAACTTAAGTAACATCACTATTCATAATAATTTTCAAGTCACGACTCACGTGAACTGATTTAAATTGTCAAATAAATCAGCTGAAAAATGCTTCATATGCATAATCATTTCAAATAATACAACAAACAAATATTTATATACAAGTGTTCTCTTTATATATAACACTCCAGCAACAATGTATCTTTGACATAAGTGCATAATACTATAAACAGTTGATATCAAATATTTTATATTAAATTCCGTGGGGTTCACATCTGCTATATCTTATTAATGACACTGAAATCGAAGTGAAAAAAAGGGGGTGCAAAATATTAACATGCGCTAAAATACTACTAATTAAAACAATATTATAAGCTAAAAAGTGCGTTCTACATGACAATGCTTTATGAAGAGTGCCAAAGCTCTTTTTTACTGAATTTTGCTTTACCACTTAGGTACACTAAGTACGTAGACAAGACTGCAACTTGAACTTGAATCAAAATTCCAAATTTCTATATTATATACTATCTATATGTTCAAAGGAAAACTTTATATTCATTTTTGTTGTATTGACTCGTAGCAAAGTGCACAATTTATAGGCACAGAAGGCGCATCACCTACTTGAAAAAACAAATGAACACGTAACCGGTACCTACAAGGTTGTAGCGCCGCTGTTTTTTCTTTCTTAATTTATAACTCTTTGAGGCTTCACCTACATTGACACGACATCGTATATCCTAAGTTTAATAACAACCTACTTATGAATGTAAAAATCCTTTGTGAAACTTATATTTAATTTTAAATAAAATCGTTACTTGGGTAAGAGAAAATATACGCCTTACAATATTTATTAGCAATCTCTTTGAAACGAGTATTGCGTACTGCCCTGCGATACTGTAACTCACTTTTCGAACTCACACAGCGGTTTTCGCATCGGCGGTCGCTCTCAAATCAGTCGTGAAGCAGTCATTTTATGATTTGGCATTCTGAAAAGGTGGGAGCTTGTAGTTTATTGTTTATCAGAATCCCAAATCATAAAATGACTGCTTCACGACTGATTTGAGAGCGACCGCCGATGCGAAAACCGCTTTGCGAGTTCAAAAAGTGAGTTACAGAATCGCAAGGCTGGAGGCGGTTAAGTCATTCATACTTGATTTCAAAATACATACAGATAAACAATTCAATTAGTATTAAACTTAATCTTTTTTAATTTAATGTTGTAATACCCTTTTTTTTTTTTTTTTTGATATCCGAGGTGGAAATGCATTTGCGCATCCCCTGAACAGGGGTATGTGGGACTCGACCCACGCCAAAATCTCTGCTATTCAGAGACTGGGTGAGCAATACCCACTAAAACCACCTCGAGTAGTTCCGACAAAGCCGCGTTACAGAGGCTCCGGGGTCGCTGTCGCATTCTACCGGGACCTCAACGGCATGTTACACTCAAAAACCTCCGTGCGTATACACTACATAGGAGGTAGGAGATCGGCATATCTTCTCCTATTTACTCCCCGTCTTCTACCCCTAGGATTCGTCCTAAAGCGCTCCCCCTCTCGTTTTTTTGTCTCCTTCTGTAGCATGACATGCTCACAGAAGGATACCACTCTTCATACCTCGTCACTGCCGACCATTTTTTGTACAACACAAGGCAAAGCAAGGTTACTGCCCACCACAGAACTAAGATTGTGACGAGCTGAGACCACTGCGGACAATCCTCCAACGTATGCTGTGCAGTATCATCATTTGCGCCACACTCCAGCGCTCGGTGTTGGTTCCCGCCGCACGAATGTTGTAATACCCTAATCTCTTTTAAAATTTTATTGTTTTTCACTGAATTCTATTCTTATTGTATGAAAGTGGCTTTATTCTAACACAATCTCGGTTCTATAAGTCTGTTAAGACTTATCAAACGCTTGTAAGGAAATAATAATCAAAAACACAGGCATCGGATAACGTAATAACTTCCTCAAGACGTGGGACGAATAAAGGAGGAACGCGTGAAAATTAATTATGCATTTGTGTCTCGCGGCTGGTTGCCGAGAATATTATTCAAAATGAATATTTACAGTGGAATCAGAAACACCTGCTTTGTCAAATGATACGAAATTCATAGTATGAACGTCAATTTTAGTCAAAAACATACTGTAACCCTCCTATAATTATATAGCACGGTAGATTGGTTCTGCGTTATAGGAACGAGTTTGTATGACCCCATATAACGCGTTATGTATAAATGATTCACATTTATCTTTTCTTGTTAAAGGGGATTTAAATCGTATAATAAGAAAAAACTATGCTATGAACGAATTATGTGCGTACAAATCATTATAAATTTCACAGTACAGAAATATAACTTGTGCAATCCCCGCGTTATACGAGGGACGAAAATCGCGAAATATGAAAATGTGTTATAAGAGTACCATGTTATAAGGGAGTTTTCTGTACTTAAATAATATATACGCTAGAAGATAGGAGCTGATATGTACATTTGTACATATTTACAGCTAGAAAAATCGTATTATAACTATATTATTAATACATATTAGGTAGTAAGTTTCTATGTATGTAAAAAAACTATTAGTGGCCGCAAAAAGGTGAAAAGTATTAGTTCTTATCACTGTCGTGCTACTTTGAAAATAAATTAACGTGACAAAACGTAGGGTTAGATTCAGAACTGAGACTTACTCGAACTATGTTCTTAACATATGGGAGTTACAATTAGTCTTAACAGTACTTTAAAGCAATTCGAGATAGGCCATTTAGAAAAGATTTGTGTGATGCAATATGTTTTTGTTGTTTAGTCATTACTACGCAGTTCTTAAATTTGGTTAGAATTGAATTTCGGTAAAAATAAATTAATCTATCAGTAGTTTCAATTCTATGGACTCTGAATAGAATTGAAACTACTGATAGATTATCATACGTAATGTCTGTATTATATAGAAGTTAAAAATGGTCTTAAGTTAATATTAAAGTTATACAAAAGAATAGCAAAATAGCAAATCGATTCACTAAAAGTGAACGTCACGTCTGCGCTTTTCCATTTAAAATTACAATTGCACTAAGTCCCGTTATAAATCGTAAATTGCAATCCTGAGCACGCCACTACTGATACCATCTATCACAATTTTAACTAGGCAATGTTAGTTTAAATATTGTGGTAACACGATACTAAGCTTTGCAATAATTTTAAAGTTCTTACGTTCTATATATTATCATCAAGCTTTTATAATAAGGCGTTCTATTGCCCCCATTATATAACTAATATATAAAATGTCATGTCATGTCACAATGTTCGTTCCCATACTCCACCGAAACGGTGATGACAAAGAAGCAAATGAACGAATCAGTTAATTGATATATTATTTGTCTTTTTTTTTAATTATGAAGTAATTTCATTACCATGAAATCTAAATGCAAATTATTGTATATCGCATGTCGATAAGTTGGATTTATATAACGATACCTATGTATGACCCAAGATGTATCAGCTATCAGCATGTTGCGGTAAGCCAGGAACGCCACGGTCACAGAGTTGCTTATTAATTGTATTTCTATATTTCTTCTAATATTTCATAAGTAATGATAGAATCGAAGAGCAAATATTTCATGCATTCAATTATTTCATATGTGATTCCAACACAGAAGAAGAAATACTTATCAATTTAGTTAAACTCGGTGTAGATTCTGAAATATGACTCTACAAAATGACTTTGTAAATTGTCAGTGTTAAAAGAACACTAAAATTTAATGATATAAAAGTGTACCCTATTCTAGCATTGGTAAATTTGTCGAATCACGGCTCCACCTTAAAACATCTCCAAATTTGTTTCTACATACATATTTTCATCATTTAGCAATGGTGTACCATGCAATAATGTGGTAGCGTATGTTCTTTGCCCCATAGAAATTAATTAAAACGTCATAATTTGTGAAATGATTCATTCATTAAGATTCAGAGAAGGTACAATTTTTTTAACCTAACCTAACCTGATCACAAACTCCACTTAGAATAAAAGAAACCTAACCCAATGTTATTAACTGTGATTACAATATCATTTACATTATGCATGTAATATTATCAGTTTCTTTAATTTTTTTTAACATACTAAGACATGCTAGTCGTAAAGAACGATAGAAACAATTTGGATCTGTTTTAAGGTGAAGCCGTGATTCGAGAAATTTACCCTATCATTAAACTATCAAATTCTACTTAAACTAACGAACAATTATTTTATAAGAGCTAGCAAATGAAAACTATTCAAATACATTTTCCATATTGCGCAACGTCTGACTATTTTGTCTGCTAACGTTGCAACTCGCGTGCAACATTCTTGAATGCCCTCCCTCAAACTATTGTATAGTTCAAACATGAAGTCGCCGGGTCAGAAAGGTCACGATGTGGCACATTAATTTACCCGTACTCGGAACTGAGTGTAGAACGTATGCCAAATCACGAACATTACCACTTTTGGTTATAACTAATTTACTAACAACGTGCTCGTAAAAAATGTACTTATGGATATGTATAATGGCTTTTCTTTGAAATTAGCGATTTAAACTTTGAACTCGATAAATTATTATTAAGAATCATATTAAAAGACATTACATTATAATACTTAGTAACATGTTATTTTGAGTTATTTTTTCAAATAGATTAGTTGCAATTAAAACTGAAGTGAAGGCAGAGCGACAGGGAGAGGAGAGCAGTTATCGATCGGCCCTAACCTCCGCCTGCGGGGTAGTCACCCCTCCCGCACCCCTCAGCCTTACGTAAGCCCAGCTGATCGCACCCACCCTGTAACCTTGGCAACGAGCTCTGTGCACGC